CCCCCCCCTTCAACCTTCCCATTCCATTGCCACCCCTCTATACTAGCGTGGGTGGGCCAGGGATTCCCCCTATAACTTCTGTCGCCCTTGCATCGCAGCATGATAAGAGGTATACTACATTATTCAGACTTGCACTGTCACATTATCCAAAGGCGTACTACATTTCACTTTCTCTGACGAGGTACTGATAGCAAATCTGCCAATAGCAATCACTCTCTGGCAGGGCTAACGATTGTTCTCACGTATGGTATTTTTTGCGAATATGAAATCAAACGCCAAGTTTAAATTACAAAAAATAAAGAAATACCTGAGGACGGAAAAGGCGCGTTGCGATGCAGTGTTGTACGCGTCACATTCCCTTCAGCATCCACAGTTTCAAATTCTTCCTCGCGTTCTAAATCGCGCACACGATGCTCATTTTCCGTTCCTGTGAACTGCACATGATTGATGATCGGATCAGTGACGCGAGTTAGAACACGTCTGGATATCACTTCTGTAGAACCGTCGTCGCAGACTTGTGTCGTCTCAAAAGTCGTCAGTGTAGTCGGATAGTCACCCAGCATAGTGTCCATATCGCCAGTTAAAGAATCCTTCTCTTCGTCCTGATATTCTTGATATGTGCCTGTCGTGTCACCACTCAGCAAAACTTGCGTATCTTGACTAGTCAGTTCTTGAATGCTAGCTCCTTCCAGCACAGAATCTTTATCTTGGGGGATTATTTCAAGTGAGTCATGCAAACGCTCTTCACCAGCCTTACAATCAACAACTTCGTATCCTACTAAACTGCCTTCACTGATTATTTGTTTTTCTGGTATAGCAGCCTCCAGCGAATCAGTACTGGTTTCCAGTACTTCTGGAATTACTTTCTCAAAATCTTTTTCGATGCTATCATGTGGTGACGCTAGTGGTGTTACAACTTGAGTATCCTCTACAACTGGAATTGCTTGAATATCGGGAATGGAATCGTGATCCTCCTCATCGTCATCCCGAACGCTCATATCCTCAACTTCTGATTCCTCCCGAATATCTGAAAGCATCATTGCGTCATCTTGTGGCGAACCTTCCGTCCCTACCTCCTGCTCAAGCCGTTCAAATTCAGCAAGGGAACTTGTCGATCCATTGGTTCCGGGCTTCAGCTTTCCAGAGACATACAGCTCCATCTCACTGCCGCTCAAACTTGATTCGCCCTTGTTCAGCACATCTCGTTCAATTCTTTCAAATTCTTGCAAACTGGTTTCGGAAACGTTGTCGCTTGATACTGTTTTGTACTTTCCTACTGCCATACTAATATCCACTCCCTGACCATTTGATGAGGCGCTTCTGCCATTTAATGAATCTGCTTCTTCAGGCTCTTCGTCCACTGTCTCGAGCTCTGCCTCCACGACATGCAAGCTCTGTTCATTTTCCGGTACAAACGTAGAGTACTCTTCAGATGGTGAGAGTGGCGAACGTTTCGGTGACTCCACACTGTGCTCCGTTTCTGTCCATGTCATTTTCAATTCCGGAGTAAGTCTTTCAAGGAACGTCTGAGGTTCATCGTGTGTACTTTTCTTAGAACTCGTGCTGCTTCGTCGCGAAGTGCTGTATCGCTTCCCACTGCTTCCGCTCCTGATTGATATCTTGTCTAAAGAATCAACTGAATCGGATTCTGCATGCAACATCGTTTCGGGCAGTAGCGATTCAGTCCTGACATCGCCCTCTTTATCCAGCCGATCAACGACAGTTTCCGCTTTGCTTCCGGAGGATAAGTCAGAGTACTGCCGTAAATATTCCCTCCCGAAGTCCATCGCTTTCTCGTGTATTGACTCCTGGGATTTTGCTTTCTCTGAAATATCTGCTGCGTGTGTCCATGTTAAAGTCGTTTCTTCCACAAGCACGTCGTCACCGGGAGCTTCCACAATTGAATCGAGAATTTTGTTTTCAGCCAGACGAATCTGCTCTGTAATTTTGTAGTTTTCTGTAGCTTTTCTTGAACTGTCGGGTGAAGCAACGACAACGATACCTTCATCGTCATCATTTACTCCAGGTGGTATAGGAGAAATTGGTCGTCCTGGATCAACATCAGGAGCAAGAAGAATGCCACTGGCAGAAGTTAACAGGACATCTTCCATTTCTTCTTCATCTTCGACGGGCACTAGCTCTATGTCAGGCATATCAGGGCTTGAACGTTTTGAATCACTGAATGGACTTATATGTCTAGTTGGTTCTTGCTCCTCATCCTGTGATGCAGTGAACAGGCGATCAGACTGGACCGGTGAAAGCATTGCAATGGGCGTTGCACTTCCCCGCCGTTCTTCACTAATTTCCGAGAGTCTACTGCTCACTTCGCTCGCTGCTGTAGTGTATTCTGAATCCTGAGAATGCCAGCCAGCAGCGGTTTCAAATGTATCCTCTTGTGACGTAACGCATGTTTCGTAGCCGTCCCTCGATGTTGCAGTTGCTGTTTTGTAGGTAGATGCGCTGCGTGACAAATCCTCTCCCAATCTCTTTATTATGTCGTCTACCATTTCTGCTACTTGAATATTCAGCTCATCCTCATATATTTCTCCCTCCGCTGGTATTTCCAACTGTTTCGACTGCTGTGCCAACGCCTCCAGCTTCTCCATCAAGTCCGACTCGTAATCCACTTCAGGCTCATGTTCCACTTGTGATGAGTATTTCCTAGTCGTTCCTTGCTCTTCACTAGACGATGATGTTTCAGCGTGTATCGGGATGCTCTTCGTTGTTTGTTTCATTTCCCTCAAAATCCCAGAAACCATTTGCTCCGATAGAACGTCCACATAGTTTTTAGTTGCTGTATCCTGGCCAGCAGCAGTGTTTGCTTTTTCATCCACTTCAGATGATATTTTGCCAGCATCCTGCTCTGGTGAAAACTGCATGCCTGTTAATCGTTGCCCTCCTTCAGATACTTCCTCTGAAGTCGGCAGTATAGCTTTTTCTGATTCCAACTGCTTACTGCTTCTCGCTTCCAACTCAATATTTCCTGGCGCGAGTACTAATCCTTCCAGTTCCATAAATCTCCCACATTTTTGAGCGTCAAGATTATCGAGAGTGATATTTCTCTCGGGTTTACCATTATCTTCAACATCAGAATCCCAAACTGTTCGTGAGAAATCCGCTTCATGCTTTTCTAGTCTCACAGGTTCGTTACCGGGGCTAAAGTCATTATGTCTGACAAGCATAGCAGAAAATGACTCTTCCGCGTTTTGCTTCACTTCATCTTTACTTAGAAGTTGTTTTTCCTGGTGCTCCTCGCCACCTACTACGAACTGCTCTGGTTCATACTTTGTTTCCTTCGGCGCATCTGCATGAAAGCTTCTAACCGTAGTTTGTTGCTCGGAAAGTCTGTCGTCCTCAGACTCCCCAGAAGCTGCCACTATCTTCTCATGAATAGTTTGGTCTATACTGATTTCTTCCAGACACGGCTCTTCAGCGCCTGCAAGTAAATGTATAGCTTGTTTTTTTGTTTTGCTGCTTCCATCGTCTCCGATTTGTTGCCAGTCTTCGTAGCTTATTATTCTCTTCAGAGCTTTCTCTTCATCAACTCCAGCGCCTGCCGTAGACGAAAATTCCGAACTCAGTTCAAAGTTTTTTTGTACGGCACTTTCGGCAATCGTTTCTTTGTGCTGAATTGTCTCTCGCATACCACGCAACTCTACTTCTAGTTCATTATCGAAATCATTGTCACCAGGAACCGTTTTCGACTTCGTCAACATCTCTGCTTGTGCCGGTGTTTCAGGAGTTGATAGAGCTACAGGTACTGTAATAATACTTGCTTCAGCCGTTTCCGGAATATCTAGCAAACTTTCAGTAAACGGCTGCCTGCCTTCCGGAGTGCTCCTTTCGCCCAAAGCAATTCCAGAAATTTTTCCCAAACTTCCTGCATCCAAGGGCATTCCTTTCCGCTCATCTATGTCCTCAATAGGAAAAACTTGCTGCAGCAGTTCATCTCCTTTGTTTTTCTTCTTGATATCACCAGTACCGTCTTCAGTCAGCCTAGAAATTGCTGACTGATCCTCGCTGAAAGTTGAAACTAAGGAGGACAGTCGGATTACTTCAAATTCATTGTCTTGACTCAACATATGAACATTTTCATGTCCTTCCATTTGCTTTATTTCTGCTAATCCCCCTTTGATTTTTTCCCCTTCATGTAAATCAGATGTAATTCGAGCGCGTGTACCTTCCTGCAACACAGTGGCATTGGTGATAAAATCATCTCTGAAATTTTGTTGCACTGGCTCAACATCACAACGAAAGGCCTCACTGTATCCAAATTCCTGTTCTTTTTTATCAGGAGCACTTTTCGGAATCTCTCCGCTCGGTGATGTTTTAAACTCTCTATGTATCTCATGTTCCAATATGATGGCTTCTGCTGTTATCTCACTCCCAGAACATTCCTCAGATTGTACAACACTGCAAAACTCACCACGCTCCGCCATATCTTCCATTAGTGGAATGTTGATTTCCTTTGTTACACTGGCTACATGCTCCCTTGGGAGATTCGTAAATTCGCCTTTCCTTACTGGTTTTTGCAACATTGTCAGTTGGTCAGAATCAACACTGGTAGGTCCCTGCCTTTCAAATGGTACTTCAGAGATTTCTTGCTTCAAGCAACTTGCTTCACCAATTGTTTGCTCTTCTTTTTCTTTATCCATCAGCTTATCTTCTACTTTGCTTTCCAAAAGCTCAGAAGGGGTTGCCCCGAAGAATTCTTTTTTCGGTGGCATTCGTTCTATTGCGAAGCTGTCTGCCGTATCAAAAACAGTCGCTGGTGCCGGTCTTAAAATTTCTCCCTCAGTTTCGAAATCCACATTTTCTAGAAACTGTTTCATGAGCACTTCATCCCTGGATGCAGATAACACACTACTTTCTTCAAGTCCCTCAGTTCTGTATAGATCCAATGTACCATCTAATTTCAGTTTTTCGATCTCCACCTCGCCTTTCGCTCCCTCACTCAATTCCTGTTGCTGTATATTAACACTACCGTTTTCAGTTTCAAAATGTTCCTTTTCTGGCCACGTCACCTCTTCTTTGAATATATGCTCCACAACAGTTTTATCAAGCTTCTGAAACGAATCAGTTATTTTCTCCGAAGAGAGCGCTGAAGTGGATGACAACTCACTGTCGTCCACTTTGAAATCCGATTTGCTTAGTTCCATTTCACTAGTTAGCTGTACTGATGGTTCAGTATACATGATTTCCAACTGTTTTTCGAAATCAGTGCTGGATCTTTTCTTTAATTTTTCATGTCCCATATCTCCCACATCTTCCGAATAGGGGAAAATTTGTTTGGTGGCTTGAGCCACATCGTCTCCCTCGATAAAATCGCCGCCTATCACTGCTGCTTCTAATGCAACCACTTCGTTATCGAAAACTTTGTCTGAGCTAACAGCATCTGTGCCTTCTAAATTCTGCGCTTCCTCTGGGGTCCATGATATAGAAGCGCTTTTCTCATAAGAATGTTCGGCTTTCATCGAATACGGCTTATATGTCTGATTGGCAGACCCGTATTCTGAAGGTAGCTGACGTAAACCATCCACGTTCAGCTGATATCCCACTGCGGTGTTGTCGTACTGCCCTTTTATTTCATCTTTCTTAGTCTCGATTTCTCCTTGTATTCCCGCTATTTCTGGAAGTTCAGAAAAACTTAGTGCGTCCAAACTCGCTTCCATGTTTTGAAGTCTTTCAAACAAAGTTTTACTTCCACTTGCACTTGTCTCAGTTAAAGTTTCACCTTGCTCGACGAAACGTTCGCTATCTGCCTCAGTCAGATCCTTCGTTAAAGGAGGGACCCTACTATCATCCTTTGCATAACTTTTTTGCTTATGCTCTTGATCGGAACTTTCATCAGTTTGGCTTTCTGATTGAACTATGATTGTGTCTTCAGCAGTAACATCGATTTGCGACAGCTGGGCCGCCTCCTTCCTGCCCTTAAAAGATGCATCTACAACACTTTCTTTCCGTATACTGTCAACATCCGATGTATCTTCTTCGCCAGGGATTCCAACAATTTCGCCTTTCGAAGGGCTGCGAACTTCGCTAGTGGTAAAATTTTGCCTTTCCTCACCAATCAGTCTTAAATCAGTTTCGGTTTGCTGAAGGCTTGGCAAAAACGCATAAGCAGATTGTCTTGCTTCTTCAGGTATTATTTTCTTATCATCGTCTTTTTTTGCATATTCATAAACACTGGCGGCGCCCATCGTTACTAGTGCAGCTGGTGCCAAAACTACTGCTCCAGCAAGTGTCCCAGTTCCTTTTGCGAACTTCATTAGCTTCTCTCCGAATGAAGAACTTCCACCTGGTTCCAGTTCTAGTCCAGTAAGCGGCTTACTTTCACTAATTTCACTTCCCTCTTGTTCCAGCAAGCATTCGCTCTGAGTCACATACTCTGGCTCGCTAAAAACTGCACCTTCACCAACACTTTTGTATTCTTGCATGCTATCCAGAAATAAGGCATGCTCAGGAGACACACCCATTTCTTCGGATCGATGCAATTCATATACCGGTTCTCGAACTGCTTCTAACTGCTGTAGAGTTGTATCGTATGTACCTTCACTCTGTACATGCTTTGTAACTGCAGTATCGTCCATCCCTCCAAAATCTATAATTTCATGCTCCAAATGCCTCCTTAACCCATCTTCGCCTGTGATCAACGAAGGCAATCTAGCGACAGCTTTTCCCATAACTTCCTTGCTGCCTTTCAATGAAACTTCATCCACATCATTACCCCATTCACCTTTCTTTGATGGAGACTTCCTTTCCGGTTCTGTCGTAGCTGTAACGCAAGCCGGCCAAACAGCTGCAGCCAAATCTGAAAAAAAAAAAACGAAGATAAACACTTTCCTAAAATGTGATTTTAAAGCAGAACACTTTTGAAACTCATCAAAAGATGCTAGCTGAATGATTGGTTCTTGCACTTCTTTTCTCAAATGCGTGGTGTGATGAATGCAGAAATAATCTATTAGACATGTCGTCTTACCGAGCGCAGATGAAAAGTTCAGTACATTAACATGACGGTTTCCAGCAGTGGTAATTAGTGTATAGTTTCGGAACTGTTCAGTCAACGTTTTGGAACCGTTAACAGTCTGGATGATGCAAAGCTTCTTTTCAACAGGCTTATTTATATGGCCAAACAATAGCTGTTTATTGGTTTCTGATAATTTCTATTTCTTACTCGTCTGTTCCAAGTCGTACTCAAAATATGTAGGAGGAAAAAAGATCTTTAAGTTAGCAGATTTCCCTATTATTGAAACAGTGGTGTTTAATGACGAAACCCCGTATTTCTTAGAAATGCCTCGTCTCGGAACACGTTCAGCAAGCAGCAGTTAAGCTATAGGATAAAGTATTAACAAATAAGGATGTGTCTACGAAACCGAAAGTAAGCGTAGAATCAAGGTCTAGTAAAGGACCGGTCTTAGCGCAAGCTGAAACTCTTTGTTTTAAGCTTTACATTGTGAGAGTCATGAGTGATGAGAAGGTGGCAGTTTTTCATCACTTATGACTCTCACAATGTAAAGCTTAAAACAAAGAGTTTCAGCTTGCGCTAAGACTGGTCCTTTACTAGACCTTGATTCTACACTTATTTTCAGTTCCGTAGGCTCATCCTTACTTGTTAATACTTTATCCTGTAGCTTAACCGCTGTTTGCCCTTACAAGGACTTCTAATATGATTGTTCCTCAGTTCTGTTTAATCAAAAACAAGAAATTTTAAAACCATTCCTCACTCTGATCTGTGCTGAAGCTAACTCTCCAAGTCCTTCAATTTTTACTTTTAAATCCCGCGAGTTCTGAAATGCCCCGTAAACACTGACAACATTTTGTTCTGAACATATCTGCTCGAACACTTCTGCTTTCGTTTCTTCCTCCAATTCATTAGCTCACACATACTCGTAACAAGTCTTCTGCAGTTGGTGCCTGAGCGATCTCATCTGCTCTAGATTTATATTTCTTACTTCTGGATGAAACTGTGACCGGCACTGAAGCACCATAGTCTTCAAGAACGTTTTGCTTTGGTGATGCCTCCTCGAATGGTTTCTTGTAGCTTCTTCTTTCGATTTTCTGGATTTCAAAACCTCAAAAAGATCATCTTTTATGAAGGTTGGTGATTTAACAAATTCTTCAACTTCTATACTTATGCTGTTTTTTTTCGATTCAACGGGTACGGAGACCATAATTTTCGATGACATTCTATTCTGGTAACATTTCCACGAATAATTTTTCTTTGATTTCTTCATTAAGTTCTTCGATCTTTGACTGAGCCTTCTTTTTGAATAGCGGTCGACTGCCCTCTTCCTCTACTGTAATTTATCCTTTCCAGTTTCTCCTACAACAGAAATCGAATCATCTTTGTTACAAAAAATTCACGATAATTGATTCAGTGTTTCTCTCGTGGGCTCCTCAAATTCTTCAGCTCAGTAAACTCAGCAGAAGCGTTGTTTATTCTCGATAACTGAAAGAGAGTTTTGAAAAAATATGGGCTTACAACGTTTGCGAGTTTTTACATACACTAACGGTGAAAGACAGTAATCCGCATGAACAACTCGCTCCCCTAACAAGCCATCATAAAGTCTTCCTGTAGTTTCATTATGTCCTTCAGCTCGATAAAATTGCAGGCAAGTTTCTTCAATACCCAATGTTCAAACGACCTCTTCAACGTTGTAGTTTCGGATCCTTCATCTGATGCCGCTTTGGCTGGAGAAACACGATAATAATCAAGAACACTTTGTTCTGATACTACTTCTTTAAAAGCTCCTGCAGTTCCTTCGCCCAATTTGCCCGCACACGAAGCTTGAAGATAAGTCTCTACAACTGTTTCTCCAACCAAAGCGGCATCAGATGGTCGATTTCATCCACTATCGAGTTTTCAAGACATTTCGTCTGGTACAGTAACAGCGTATACTTGCTTCGGCTTTGATACCTTTCCAAATGCTTCCTTTGCAAATTCTACCTTCAGTCCCTATATTCTAGAATTCTGGAAGTGAGTTCCGTTAGAGAAAGGTATTTGGTCACGCCGTCACCTACTCTAGTAGCAATTATTATTTCGACTGTTACGAAGACGTTGTGATCTTCAAGAACACTTTGCTCTGGTGATACGTCTACGATTGTTTTCCCAGCAGTTTCTTCGCCCGGTTCACCAGCTGATAAAAGACAAAAGCGAGTTTAAAAACAAGAGTTCGTTAAACCCCTCCAATTCCTCCAGTCATTCAGCTGATACACATCGTAATTTACAAAAAACACCTTGCTGTAACAACGCTTACACTGATGCGTGTTCTACACTTTCTTCATCCTGTTCGTCAGCTCGTGAAAGCTGAAAATGAAATGCTCTGGAAGCGATGCTCCAGCGGCCTCTTCGGGTGGAATTTTATACTCATTTTTATGCGTTTTTTCTGTGCAGCGCTACAGCAGCGCTAAAGCACTGCTACAGCCAGTAAAAACGCATATTGTCGAGAGGTTGTCTGCGTATGTGTGCTCAGAAGCGAGTGAATTTTGTCACCCACTTTCATCTCAGCAACCAGAAAAGCCGAGAGGCTGAAATTTTGGGTGTATATTCCTATCCCATGTGTCACCCTTCCACTTTAAGATCTCCCGCACGCGCCTGGACCCCTTCCCCCCCCCAAAAAAAAATATGCAAATTTCTTTGGCGGGAAACGATTTCGCGAACCAGGCAAGGTAAATAGCTGAAACTTTGCAGGGATATTCTCTATGCACGTGCGAACTAAAGATTTTAAACTCAGCTGTCGA